GTAGGGAAAACCCTTAGTAACACTTTAGAATAAACTGCTCTTACAAACAACATCCTGTTCTTTTTAATTAGGGAAGATGTAAATGTTTTAATGTCTTGGAATTATTACTTTGATAACTAATATTAATTTTAGTGAGGGTTTTTTTCCCCTTGGGATTTTCTATATATTGAAAGCAAAAGAGAAAATGTAGTTGAGACAGCTTTTCTTTCTTATTTCAGTCATTAGTCACTGTAGAATTTAAGTTTAAATTACCTCCAGTTCTGCCTTCTTTACTTCTTTTCAATTGACCTCTCTCCACTAGCGGTCATCTTTGACTCATCTCTCTCCTCTGCCTGATACACACCTGCAGTTCTCAATTTCCCCTGCAGCTATGCCCAATCACATATAAAAATTACTCTGGTAGCTAAAATGTGTGTCTGTTCTTTGTAAGCTTTTTCAGCCTAGTCCCTGTGCCAGTTTGATGCTATGAAACTTTATCCTACTGACATTTCAGATCTTATTTCTTACTGTGATTTCCATATGCCTGGGTTCTGACAGCAACTTTTGTTTCCTTCCCACGTATTCCAGAAAGCTCCCTGATGCCAATAGAGCAGTTTGCAATCTCTATTTTCCAAGAGGTTTTTTAGACACTCATTTCTTCTAAGAAATTAACGGAAAGAAATTAACAGAAACCACTCTGTTAGCTTAAAGCTTTCTCTGTTTCATTTTATATATTACAGAGAGATTTCCAAGTTACAGCATTGTTCTGCATCTTTCAATAGACATTTCTGGTTTATACGTTTAAATTGCTCAGGGCTGGGGCACAGTATAGTCCCAAGCACATCACTGGTGCTTAACACAATAATGATAATAAAGCATTCACTAAGGCTTTAGGCCTAAACTGGTAATCCTTTTAATTTAGCCTATATTGTAATATAAATATAAGAAAATGATTTTTAAAAGCAGAAGTGCCAAATTTGACTGTTTAGTTGCTTTCCCTTTTCTTATTCTTTGTCTGTACTTGTCTGCTTTAATGCTAAGAACTTCAAATTAAATTTATTTTTGTCTATTTGTCAATAAAATACCAAGCACTGTGCCAGGGCTATGGAAAACTTAGTCATGTATAGATAACAAACTGTCTTGCTGGTTGTCAATTAGTGTGTTCCATGTTCCATGTCCATGAGCTCTTGGATGCTCAGTGGGCTGCTGTGTAAGGCTCAAGACACCCTTCCTCTACACTTCCCTTATGTATCCATGACATGTAACCTGTGGTTTGGTTGGGTTTTTGTCCTTGATTTCACCAGTGCTCCTTATGACCAGTAGTTAAATTCCCATGCATGGATAGGGGGTGTCATAATTCAGCAGCTCTAGAAGTAGCATCAATCCCCAGTCTGCAATTAGCTGAGGTACATTTTTCCCCTGCAGAGTCTTGGAGGGGAACTAACTTAACTTTAACTTCTGAGGGTCATTTGATAGCTTAAATCTGAGCAAAAATGTAGTTAGCGTTTCTAGACAGGTTCTTAACAGTTACTCTATAGGTCAGATACCACAAAAATGCAGTGTTTCTAAGCATGCTTATTTGCCTCTCTTCTCCTCTACTCCCTTACAATTTTTAGTATTCCTCAGGTATAGACCTGGCATAAAAACATGAACTGCCATTGTTATGCATAAAAAAAATTAATATTTGTCATATTTAACCAATAATATGAACTTTCTCCCAGTAAATTATTATTATCAACAGAAGAAGAGTGAGAAGTATGAACTGATTCAGTTTGGAGTATTTATCAAAAATAAGTGTAGTAAAATAATCACCAACATTTTACTTGAAAATAGAAGTACTGTTTGGCTAAAACAGCATTATTATCTAGAATTAAGAGAAAAGCAGGAATTGTTGAATGTGTAGCCTATAAAGAGCTGTTTGGCATATTAGGCTTATAAAAAAGGAAACCAAGCCCAAGGAAATGAATGGGTGCTGCCCACAACTGTTCTACAACACCTTGGTGCTGACCTACAAAACCACAACAGGTCTCTCTTCTTGTGGCAGAGCAAAGGTAAATGGGGCTCTTACGTGATGCTGCTTCCTCCCTGGAGGAATTTTCTGAGTGATATTTGCTGCCCACCAGAAGAGTGCTTATTAGAATGAAGACTGGAATAGCTCTGGGACAAAGCAGCTCAACTCCTCATCACAATAATATCCTGTAACTACACATTCTGCATCAGGATGATTCATATTGCACATACCGTGTTTGAGTACTGTGTACTTAAGCAGGTTTTCAACTTAATTGAGGAAATACATTTTATATTTTAAATACACTATAAATTTTATTTGAATTGTGTTGTGCAGCTTTATTTTTTAACATTTGCTACTATTAAGACTAAAGGTAGACATTATTCCTCTAAAAACAGAAAGAACTTTTTTCCTTGCAAATCTTGACTTGGTTTACTCCATTTTTTTTTAAGATCAATGTTTACTATGTTGAATTCTCTTAAGATTTGATGAGGAATTATCCTCTGAAGAAATACAAGTGTTTGTAACATACAACTTTGCTTTGGTGTGCAGTGTACGTTAATATACATGCATGCACGTTGCTGCAGGAGTGCTGGTCTATTGAACCTTTGTCTGCTTATTTGTGTGCATTGGTTTCCTCCAGTAAACTCATCCAGTCTCCAATTTATTTATTTAAATATTGGGATTTGTTTGTTTCTTCTTTGTTAAAGTACCAATGATCAAGGATGTTATTTAAATTGTCTCCCTGTGGAGATAATGCTGGTAATTTGATTTCAAAACCAGAAGAGGAATCTTCCAGAAATCATTTCAGACAATTTGGTATGAATAAATAGGATCTGATGTGAAATCATCCTTGGATTAAATGCTTTGAGAGAAAGTCGTGTTAAAATCAACATGAACTTTAGTCTGCAAACATAAATTAACAAGAGGAGATGACGATGCCAGGGCTCAGTTACTGTAGTACTTTGCATTTGTCTTTGCCATGTTTATTTTCACTCTATTTAGTGCTGGCAAGAATCACTGAAATTATACTTCAATCTTGTGGAAAAAAATAACTTGCCTGAGAGAGAATATTGTTTTTCTTTCTCCCAAGAGCTAATATTTAATAGTTACTGCTCCCATATTGTGCCTTAAACTTGTGAAATAAACACAGCAGATCTTTTATGAGGGAGCTATCCTATAATTACTGTAGCGCTCAGAAAAACATCTACCGTGTGCGACTGAATAGCTGAAATACCTCTCACACACACATTGCAAAGAATGTAAAATGCTTGATGTCACATTGGGTTAAAAGTCCAATGAATAATGTGGGATAAAGATGATGATGATAAATTTTGAAAGAAAAGAATAAATGTTGGCTGAAGATCTAAATAATAAGTTTGCATGTGGGGCAGTAAATACAATGCAGCCAAATAAGTAGCCTAGAGTAGGAGCCTTGCTTTTTTATTGTAGAAATGTTTTAAAATAGGGTTGTTTTTTTTTATTCCATCTTCACAGTGCTGTATTTAAAGCAATTTTACTCTAGTGTGTACTACACTTCCCACTCTACATTCCTAATTAAAGTGTTTGTTGTTGTTTAGAGCCTTACTGTGTGAAATTAAATAAGCATGTTTTTAACATCCATAAAATAAATCAAAGATTTTTCTCATCTGAAAGACACACAATTCAGTCACAGCAAGCTTATTTCTCTGTTTCTTTTGTTTTCTTTTTTTATCTGCCTGGTAAGCCAATTTTCTGCTTAAGAACTACTGGTTAAAACTCTTACTTGTTTTGATATGTGGACTTTATCCTTTCCCAGCACTCTATGCAAAATACTTCAATTTTAAGTGTTCAAAGGTATGCACTAAGAAGAGTGATACTGCCTGCATGAGCTTGTGCTCTTATTTCTTTCAAACATAAAATGAAATAAAGTATTTTAACTAGCTTAATTCAGACCCCTTATTTACAAAGATTAACCGATTTCTTTATTTGGACTGTTAGGATCTCTGACTCTAGGATTTGAGAACTGGACGTGTATAGTATCCCTCACACTGCTGATTAGCTGATGCAGAGCACAGGCCACTACTGCAAGGGGAAGACAATATAAATATGCAGTAGTAGTGCATGACTGCCACATTAATAAGGGAAACACACATGAATTATGTCAGAAATATTTAAATACATTTAGTATGTTTTTGTAGCTTACATGTCACAAAACTAAAAGGGACTTTTAAATTTTTTTATTATTGCTTGATTTATTATTTTGCAAAAAGCAATTGGTGTTACTTCATGCAAAGTGCTTCCAGAAATTTCCCCTTGAAATCCAAGGCTAAGTCCAAGATTTATGGAAAGCGCTTAAGACTGAACAGATTATACACCCCACCATGTGATATTACAGCTTTGTCTTTTTCGATTCTTTGCCTTGTCCCCTACTCCACAAATCCTACTGTTGTCCTACTCACTTCTGAGGGAACTCCTCCGCCTTTTGCCTCCTCACTACCCAAGTAAATGTTTTGTTAACTTAAAGACAAATTGCTATTTTAATGTTCCACTTTTGGGTTTCATAGAGCTACTGCTCACCAGCAAGGAATCCCAATGGATTCCTTTTAATGAACTGCTAAAGCACTATTTACTAGCACGTGGCTACTTACCAGATAGAAAAACAACCGGCAGGTAATGGAGTGCTATCTTCTTGGGGAAAAAAAAAGATGTTTTGATTGTTAGGCTTCTTATCTTTCAGAAGTATTATCTTCGTCTTATTAACATGTTTCTGTAGTTGTATGTGTCTCTGCTTTACTTTTACAGTTAGTAGCATGAAAAATTAATAATGAAAGTCATTTCTGACAGAGAAATTCAAATCTTCCCTCTCAGATGAAAAAGAACATCCATTTTTTTTTCCCCGTCAGAGTGCCAAATACCAGTTACACTCAGCAAAACTGGAAACCAGAACAAAGAGGTCTCTCGGCTTCGTACTCTTCTTCCAAGAGGCACATGAGGCCACTGATGCATGAGAAAAAGCTGATCTGTTCCAATCTAAGGAGAAATGTTTCTCTCATTTTCAGCCAGTATATGAACAGTAATGTCTAGAAAAGATTTTTTAGAACCTAGTTTGTTTAAACAGTATGTAAAAAAATTATGTTTTGGAATGTAGCAAATCATCTTTCTCTACTCGCAGGAACTTTTTCCTAGCTTAGTATTGCATTATATACAGCAACCAGCCATACCCTAGACTTCATTTAAGGATTTGCTGTCAAAATTAAGCAGAGCTAGGAAGCTTCTCATCACAAGGCTCATTAAATTAGCATTCCAAAATATAAGGTTTTACTTTCTTTTAAATTCAAAGTGATGAGCAACATTTTGTCCCACTTTTGCTCTAATAAGGCAGAACAAAATTATTAATTGGATTCAGTTTGCTTGATGACTCTCAAACAATCAGATGACAACATTTATTTTTCTGTAGCTATTTCCATTGCTGTTTTCCAGCAGTCACTCTTATGGAGTTGTAAAATCCATGTTTCACATGTTGTCTTCTGTATTAACTTTTAAGGCCAGTCTCTCTTTAGAATTTAATAATGCTTTCAGTCTTTCATCTCTCATAGTCTTGATTATTGTGCGGTTCTTCATTACTTTCTTGTAGTTGTGAGGAGATGTCCAGAGAGGAACACTGGTTTTGAATCAAAATATGTAGATGAATATTGCAGTGCATTGAAATCTGCCACAGGAAGACAGAAATCTGAGTCCCAGAGGGCCTCAAGGCTCATTTCACTGAAGCTATGGAAGCTTTGAAGACTTGCTTGGGCAAGATTTCTATTTCACATATTTGAAAGGCAGCTACCTGGGTTGCTGTACATACTCTTAGGGAAAACTGCAAAACAAACAATAACACTTCACCTTGTCTTTATTTGGGGTTAGAGAGCTCTGTGGTCACAGTAATCCTTTGTCCACAATAACCTCTTTTATGGGTTTCCTTTCAATTCCTGCACAATTTAACACCCTAAGAAGCTGCGCATTTGAGCAGTTCTAGCATCTACACAGCCACTGCACATTTTGTGGGCATAAATGACTAGTTGCAGAGGCTAAGTCACTGATGAGGGAATGATCGAGGTAAGGAAATGTTTTCCAAACTCTACCATAATTTGATCTGTTATTTCCTCTTTGGCATATATTTTGATTGATAACTACTCTGTTGAGACTGGTTTTCACAAGTTGGATGCATTGGCATGTGTTATATTGCATGTATGAGACACTTTTGCATCAAGTGGTTCCTTGTATGTCTCTAACTACTCATCTTAAAGTACCAAAGACTTGTATTAACCAGCAGCTGGTTTGCAGCCACAGAACTGCGATAATCCTTTTTTCTTTCTTTTGAATGAGAAACCCTTTGGCTGACAAAATTGTCAGAACGAAACACCCTAATCAGTCTGATCAACATCCCGAATATCTTGTTTACAAATTCATCAGTTGCTTCTGAAGTGTGGGTGGTATGCCAAACAAAAATCTCGATTTCTTATTCTCCTTCTTTGCAGGTTGAAAGGCTAAATTACGTGTTCGGTTGGTCTTGTGATCTTTGAAATCAAATTTAAACTGCTTTAACGTTGTGTGCATTTCTGTTTTCAACCTGAAATTTCCAGGTTTCCTCCCTCACCCTCTCTCTGCCTTTTAATCACATTTGTTACCCCTTTCTGTGTAAATGCTACTTGCATACCACCTGGATTCAAAAGAAGGGGCTTCCAAAATTAGTGGCAGGTCAGCAGCTTCAGTTTGCAGTGTGAAGAATGCTGTGGGTATACCTGAGGGTGGGGTTTGGCTCAGTTTGACATTTTCCTTTCACTCTTTATTTCTGCATGAACAAACACCAGCAACTCTCATTGCACTACTCTCATTCTTCTAGAGACATTGGTTTTCTCTTTCTTTCAGAGAAACAGCATTTCATAAGCTATTTGTAACTTATTTACAGCTGGTATTTATCCCACGGTTTCCCTGCTTGAATCCTGTTTAGCACTTCTCACTCAAACCCTTATATTGAAGGACATGAATCTTCATTGGTTCCACTGTTGCCTCTATCACTTTATGGTACTTCCCATGATTCCACACTACAAATCCTTGCTCTTTGCCAACTGCTGTCTTTGTATCATATTCTACCTCTGTGTTCTTCTTCCAGTTCATTCAACCTTCAAGTACCCCTAAATGGTCCCCCTTTTTTGCTATCACAGATTAATTTATTCTGCATCTAAAGCTATATGGCACCAGAGAACACCTACCACCTACTCACTTGGCAGTGTATAGTATACATTGTTTAAACATGCCATTGCTTCTTCCACTACAGTGTAGTATTTTCTGTTAGCATGGCCTAGAGTATATGATCAGAAAACCTCTACATGTGATGCTCAGATTAACCTATTATAATTTTTTCCAGAAATTTTGGGATTTCTCCCCCACCCCAGTTGTGATAATCAGTGTTTATTTTCTATCAGTCAGCTGCTCATTTCTCCTCTTTCCAACACTGTTAGGACCATTACATCATTTATCCTCTATTCTGCTAACCTATTGTATACTCTGGATGAACAAATATATCTCATACTGCAGGGTTTTTTTCATCAAAGGAATTAACCTTTTAAAAGTTAAGACAATAGATTTTACAACTCCCGTTTCTGAAATGCTTGTTTTAGCATACTGACCCATGAGGAAGTGTATTTGCAGCAGTCTATTTTTTAAACCATCAAAGTAAGAATAAATGGTTAGAAATGACTACCAGAATGTTCTGGGTATTTTTTTCAGGTTCTGAGTTACGTCCGTACAGAATGGGATCCACTCGATGCAAGCTTCAGCACTAATCAGCCTGATCAGGTTTACACAGTGGAGCACTCCATCTCCGCAGACAAAGAGCCCATGGCTGACAGTTGCGTCTACAAGTGTGTTAGGAACAAAATGCAGTGTGTGGCAGTCACCAGAATACCACTACGATCCAAGGCCATCAGCTGTTGCAGGGATGTTACCGAAGACAAACTAGTCCTGGGTTGTGAAGATTCGTCAGTAATTCTGTATGACGCCTACAACCAAGTGACTCTGTTAGCCCAAGCAGAACTGCTGCCTGCTTTAATAACCTACCACCCTTCCGGAGCCATATTCATGGTTGGCAGCTCTCAAGGGGAGCTGCAACTTTTTGACACGGCACTGTCCCCAGTTAAAATTCAGCTCTTGGCACAAGACTATTCACCTGCGGCAACACTGCAATTCAGTAAACACTTTGACGTGCCTAGCAGCCTCATCCAGATCCAGTGGGCTGCTCCTCAAGTTGCCCCTGCCAGCACTGACAGTACCAGTATTCATGATCTTTTGTTTGTTAGATTCGACAAAGGACCCTTAGGAGTACTTCAGTTTAAACTTGGTAAGTTACTGAGCACATCTATTGAACCTTGAGCGTTCAAGGAAACATCTACAGATGTTCCTCACAAGAAACATCTGTACATCAAAAGCGCCCTCATTTTAGATATATGGAAACATAGCTTTAAAAGCACATAGTTCAGCAATATCTGCTGATGTGAACCAAGGAGGTCATTATGTTTCATGATTACTTAATATCTTTTCATATGAAGTCTGACAGAATAAGACGTTTCACACAAGAAAGAAGGTTTTCATAAACTTCATAGAAGTCTCTAATTTAATTTGCCAGGGGCTGTGAATAAAAGAAGTATTAATACTAATTTTAGAATTTATATAGCACTTCTTATCTTAGGTGTAAGGGGACTTCAAAAGAGTAAAACCAAAACTATCTTCATTTTACAAACAGAATAAGAAGAAACAGTAAATGAAAGCTAAAAGGCTTTCCAAGAGTTACACAATGCGTCAGTGGCTGAACTAAGAATAAAACCCCTGCAGTGGCTCATCAGTGAGAACTGTATTCATTCCATTCAAGTCAGGCAAGTTACAGTGGTGCAAACCCACTGTGAGAGCTAAAAAAAACAATCATGCTTAAATCTTCTGACTACCAAGGCAGTGTTTCAGCAGGGCAGACAGCCATGTCGAATATACTCATCCTGGAAAATTTCAACATTTTGCCCATTGTCTGCCTGAGGAAACAGCATTGCCTTTGTAGATCTTTACAGGAGGGTTTTTATGATTCTTTTGTATAAAGCTATTGAGATTAGGAAGAAGGCTTTAAAAAAAAAAAAAAACCTAAGTGACAGAAAGGTTTGAAAATTACTTTATTTCATTACTTACTGGGACATGCATGTGCTTTTGGGTGGAAAAATCCTGTCTAAATGTACTGCCAACCTAAATATTTGAAAGAGTGCATTTAAAAAACTTAACTAAGTATGCCACTGCAAAAAAGTAAATTCATAGAATGTTAGAAACAAAACTATTGGATTGGCTTATAGTTGTATAGTTTTAAAAAAGCTAATCCTGCTTATTACCATTGTCCAAAAAAAACCCAATATTAAAAACCTGTTTATAAGTTATCATTTATTTTGAGATAATTCAGTTGCATTATGTTCAATGACAGGTTTAATCGTTGAAGAGTACCCCAATTATAACAGCTATTTGATGGGTTTGTGCATGCTGGCCATTAAAAAAAACCCCAACTCTAAATTACTTCTTACCTGTCGAGCAGAAGGCACTCTATACACCTACCTTGCTTTTCTTTAGTCCTCCCTTGTGGGGTTTTCTCACAGCAGCTTCCAGAAAGCACAGCTTTCCCCTTGCTATCTTTAGCACATTTATGTTCTTAAGAAGGCAAGCAGGCTCTCAGTGCAGGGATTTAGAGGCCTTTCCTGCTAATTGCCAGCTTGTAAACTTAATTGGACTGTCTCCCTGGGCACCGTTCCTAAATCAATTAGGCAGTGAGTTGGCTGTCACCTCTTTTTCCCAAGCAGGTTGCCTGGAAGCGCACCACCCAGGAGAAGTCAAGCATCCAAATGGGAAGATGTTGACCTCTACAGCTGAAAGTTATCACATTTTAAAATTCTTTCTGTATAATTACTGTAAAATCTCTTCCGGGAGGAAGGCAAAGCTCTCTTTCTCTCCCTCCCTTCCTCTTTGTAGTCCACTGTGCAAAAATCTGCTGTTCTCTGTTGCATCCTGGTTTTCAACTTTACCCCTCTTCTTCTCAGTTTTCCACACTACCAAGTTAATGCCATGTTGATTAGTCAGCCCCTCTTCCCAACCTCAGCAGTTTTTAGGTCTCTGCTATTTAAGAAATAATGCAAATATAAATTATATGGAAAATGTAGGGATCCATGACAGTAAAACCCAGTCAGGCATTAAGGGCTGAAACAAAATCCATAATTAACTCATGGCTTGGAATTGTTTCTCATAAAAGTCTGTTAAGAAACTATGTCAGTGTGACTAGGCAAATATGTTTTTGACTTCCAACTGACATATGATTTTGGACAAGTTCTGTGAATTGTGCTGTCTAGCCAGATTTATTTCAGGAAAAGATTCCTATTAAATTTACCCTCAAACATGAATGGCAAATATTTTTGGAGTCCAATGCCAAACTCATTTTCAAAAGCACTGCGGCTTCTTGTCATTGATGTCAGCCTAGGTCTTGGATAATGCAAACTTGGTACTGGTGCCAGTGGTTCAGCAAAAGACATTTAAAATATAATATTATATTTAATTAGCATTCAAATAAGTATGTTCAGCTTCATTTAGTGATTAATGTGAAGATTACTCAACTCATATAATACTTTAAAAACACTAAACATTTAGGAAGAATAAAGTCTACCATAACAATTAGATACTATCACACATGCACAGGTTAAACAGGGCTATTACACATTACGATGTCCATAGGCTTTAGTACATGCAAATGTAAAGTGAAATACAATAGACAACCATGTATTTTCTTTAATGACTCTAAAAAAATATTTCTGCTACAAAAAATAAATATGTAAGCGTTTTCCCCCAAAACTTGTATATATGTTTTCCTCTACTTCTTTTTTCTTTTACAATTCTTATTTTACATCACAAACAATATTCACAACTACATTTATGAAAGTTTTGTGAGGTATGTTTTCTATATATCAGATCTGCTTTTATCTGTTGTTAGACATTTTCTGCCAGTACTAAAGCTACTATGGCTTTAGTATCAGTATTGAAATGCAGCTTGTTACCTTTCTCTTTTCTTAAAATCAGTTTTGACAAACAACATTAAAATATAAATTGACAAAAACATGACATTATGTTTTTATTTAAAGAGATTTAAAACTTATTTAAATCTCTTTAAATTTATAAAGATAAATTTATTCATTTAAATAAATTTAAATGTATTCTGCTCTCTTAAATACCTGGAGCAGTAGTGAGAAAGACTACCCTAGCACAGTGACCCAAAGCAAGCAAGAATTCCTTAAATGCCATGTGTGCCCTATGTCACATGATCATTTGGCTAGTCAGGGACAATAAATACCATTACTCTCTGCAGCTTTTCAGTCACCTTTTCTGTCCAGAAGCCAAGATCTGCAAGTCAAGAAACATTAGCAATCTTAATTTCTGCTTTTCAGAGACAGAATGCTGTAGCTAAATCATGCTCTCGTGGAGTGAACAGTATATTGCTCATTTTTTGCCCTGTTACAGCAAGTTTGTTCTTTGTTTCATGTGTACGTGTAATTCAAAGGTCCTTAGATGCCGATAACTTTCATGATATCTCCTCACAGATGAAATGCTTCACTCTAGGGAATTTTGCCAAGATGGAAGTTCTGGAGCAATTGCAATACAGAGAGTAATTGAGTAACTTGCTTTGAAGTTTAAGCTGCTGTAAACTTGAATGTTTGTGTGACACAAATACTGTTTTTTAGTGTTGCCAGTAGTATTTCCTACATGAGGGAGGTGCTACGAACATTAATTTACTAACTCCAATAGAGTAATGGTAAACTGGGAATAAGCTCTTTCTACCATGTTTAAAACAAATTTCTTTACATGATGCTATCACCAGTGGGTATTGGCTGCATTCACTCAACCTCCATCTGTGAAGTTCACTCATGTTTTCCTCTGCTGTCCAAAGCACCTTCAGTCTATATACCAACATAATACGGAGCATTCTCACATAAAAATGTAATACTGAAACCCATTAAACTTAAACTTTCTAATTTTAACCAACAGCAATTATTTTTAACTGTGCTGAAAAGTAGTCAGCTACTGGTTCATGTAACGCTATCTTTGGTTTTAATATTTCTTGTAAAAGGTGTGTTCACAAGAGGGCAGCTGGGCCTTGTGGAAATCATCCACCAATATATTCGTTACGATGAGATACATGAGGCAATTAATGTCCTGAACACCATGAACTGGAACACGATGGGTCAGCAGTGCTACATATGCTTGAGTGCCATTGTTAATCACCTTCTTAAACAAAAGCTTACACCGGACAGAGAAGGTTAGAGACTAATTATATTTTTAATGTATTTTCGTGGTGTCTTTGTAACTCATATGTGGGTTATGACAATATGTTTATTGCCTGTATAAAGAAGACAATAGTGAGAATCCAGTCAGCCAGAATATGGTACTTCAGAATCAAATATAATATGTAGACAAGTCATTTCAAGAAAATCTGGATCAGTGTGTGATCACATTTTAATTTGTATCAATAGTGATAATAAAAAATAGATACCAATATGTATATGGTGTAGGCTTTACTGAATATATAACACCATCATAAACATGGTGTAACTTTTTTACAGAAATTTAGCTTATGTTATAGACTAATATTGATTAATATAGGGATTGAAATGTTTGTTATATAGTCACGCTGAGACAGCACCAACTTAAGGAGGGACATTTTCCTGCAACAGGGACAAGAGATTTTAGTATGGTTTTTAAGGTGCTTTTGAAGGGTCATTCTTTCATTACAAGATCCAAAGGCTTTGAATACACTATCCTCTGCTGCCTCCTTTAGGATTATAGCATTTGTCCTTACTGTAATCTTCCGGCCCCCTGCAGTAGTAGCTGGGGTCCCTCACAAGAAATGATGAATTTTAGGTTCAGCCTTGTCTCTGCTGAAGCCTGGTGCGATGCCTTCCTCTTGATTTGCTGTCTATCTTGAAACTCAATAGACTTCAAGATTTGAAGTGCCTTGATTTAGTGAAGGTGTTATCCTCCAGCATAGCAGGCAGACAGCTGGGGACCAGGCATCTTTTGTGGCAAGAAAGAATACTTAGGATTCTGGTGTGTTTGATGATAGAAAAACTCGGAGGTGTCCTACATTGCTGCCAAGTCATCAGCTATCCCATTTTGGGGGATCTTATTAAAAAAATCTCTGCGTTGCAACCATAGCGTATCAATTCTAAATAAAACATGCTTTTAAAAGGACCCATGAAAAGAGCTGGTTTTGAAACTCTTGTAAAAATATGCACATTATAAATAGATGTCTGTGTGTTTTCCCCCATGCAGCTCCCTAACACTGTTTACAGCAGACAGAATTATATTCTGTCCGGGAGTTATTCTATGTGAATCTAACAAATTTGGCATGGTAATTTGTTTTCTTTTTTATTAGCAAAACCTGGTGGGGCCTTTTATTTCTAGCAATGGGGCAGTTATCTTTGAGATCTTTATTCTGCTTTCAACATCAAGCTGGGCTATCTAATGAATCTGTAACTGTGCTAGTAGTTACTCATGTTCCATATAGGTTGAAATATTTCAGGAGTGCAAAACATGCTGTCAAAAAACCAGCAATGGTAATAGAGTATGGGTGGTTGTTTCATGGATTTTTAGAAAAAGGTACTGCTGTACTCAATTTTAATCTAAATTGACTGCTGCTTTGAAAGTAAATAGCTTTAAACTTCAACTTGCTGTCTAGATTGAGGGTAATGCAAAACCTAATTTATTAACAGTTTGCCTGTGATACTAACGCAGTACTATTAGCACATTTAGTGCTATCAAGCCTAATAAAATAAAATGTAACTACATTTGGAAATAAAGAACATTATCACTAAATACAGAAATGGCTAGTTTAAACAACTGTTAATAATAGCAAATCGGTGAGTTTGTCTGCCTAATGAGACAACAGGTTATATTTTGCTTTTCAAACCCCCACAAAATTGTGATTAGCTGTAGCAGTTTGCACATTCATTCTGAAAGGAGAACCTATGTAGCAAATATATAGCAGATTCTCCCTGTTCCTACCTATTAGGCCTCGTACAATGTGTTAATTCTCAAGCGGAAGTCACATAACATAAGTATTATTGATCATTAAATTTCCTTTCAGCTAAGCATGTGGGACACATACATACACTGTGTATTTTCTTGTATTATTTATAATTTTATATTAAAAACATGTAGGAAAATGCCTAAGAGCTCCAACTGCGGAATATAGCTGTCCGAACGTATCTAAAGCAGAGAGAACTTCTGTAACATGGGGTTTATTTTATTGATTACAAGGGACATTACCCTGTTTCCCACCATTACATACTCTAGGAGAGTCAAGCCCTTCAGGTTTTTAGACCCTTTTATTTAAATTTTTTAAGAACTGTGGGCTGAAGGAGGTTCCTTAGACCTTAAGGCCATCACATGAAGGGTTCTCTCACCTGCTGACCTAACAGAATAATCCCTGAGAATCTGAACTTCCTTGTTGTTTGCCTAAGAGGACAAAGACAATTTGAGCTAATTGAGAGTTGATCTCCACTGGACAAACTTGTTCAAACTGTATTACTCTTATGAGTCGTTCTTAATTGTATGCTGCTGGTGAGAACTTGATGTGTTACAGACTTCATCCTTTTTGACAGCTTTTGTTGCTCAAAGTCATTGTCAACTCTGCCTCAAAGTGAAAGTTTATATGCACGTTTGTGTTTGTACAGTCTGTCATATTTTAATTTCATCTGTCCTACAACAACATCACATTTCATCAGTGTTGGAGGAATTTGACTGACTGCAAACATGAGCAACTTGTTGTAATTGAAACAGTTTCACTTGTTTCGCTGCTGCTGTGTTTGAACTCCACAGCACAGCTTGAGGCAAGCCTTGGAACCTTTTATGCTCCAACAAGACCCCTCTTGGATACAACCGTGCTGGAGTACAGAAACCCAATCAGCAGATATGCAAGAAGGTTCTTCCACCACCTGCTCAGGTGAATGACAGTTTCAAGTTCTATCACCTTAAAATTAATTGCATATTTCAATAACTACCTACTTTAATGTGGTTAACATTTTCCAAGAGGACCACCCCTGAAAAAAATGCATGCTGTGTTACTGTTTAACTTGCACTTCGTTCCTTTCAAATAGAGTATTGCAGATAAAATGCTATTCAGAGCTCTTCTATCATCAGTACATTTAAAATGAATCATCCTTTTCCTTTTAGCTTGATGGAAAAAAGATGGTATGCTTCTGAGAGATTTATATTTACCAATTGCTTGCAGATTAACTATTTAAACAGCTTACAAACTTGGAGAAAATATTGCGTTTAAATAGATGCCAGAAGGTAAATGAGCAGTGCATGGTCCAAGATGTTTTTGTTATTGCACCATTGAAATCAGAGCATTTTGTTATTCTCACTCTCATAGTTCTCATATAGAAATTCATATTCCAACAATTTTCAGGGAGTTTTCAGTGCCCTTAAAATAAGAGGAGAAAATGAAACATTGAATTTGTGTGTAAATTATATGAATTAGAAGAGTCATAATACCAAATTCAGCTAGAATTTATAGTACATTGGTTTATTGCTATATTTTTCCTTCAAAATAGATCAGTAGCCTTAATTCCAATCAGTTATAAAGATCAATATACAGCAGTTTAACCCGTTCATGTGTTCAACCACAAATGTAGCTGAAACTCCTTGAGTTTTATCCAGGGGGTGAAAATACGGAGAAATCACCTTCTGAGTGATAGAAAATTTGTAACGCCTTTTGAGTAGGAGTGTAGATGAACATAGTGAGAAGACTTAGAATGCACCCTTTTTTGGTGATTCATTCAGTTTATATACATTGTCAGCATAGGCAAAGCTAGGGACTGCAAGTTACTTTGATAGTACAGTGTGTGCTTCTTTCAAAGCTTAAAGAAAAATATTTTATACTGTCTTCTATATTCTGAGTCTGAGTGGGATCATCTTTCTGGTAAAAGAGTCCATTTCCATTCCAATGAGGAAATTATTCTAAGAGGAAGAATGCTCCAAATATCTGCATAATATGCAGCAGCCTTTCACTAGAGCTTTCTTAAAAGATGTGGCCACAACAGTGGGTTCAAACTCCTCTGCTTTTGCCTTTCTCCTAGAAACCAGCAGGGAAGATCTGTTGCTGCAATGGCCAACTGTAGTGACTGTGGGCCAGTTGCCTGCAGAGGACAGATGTGGAAAGAATGCCTCAGAGATTGCTGAGAGCTGTTAACTATAGTGCTCTTGCATCTGCAAGAGAAAGGTGTATTCCCTCTGACTCAGGATTTGCTTCCAAATGCTAGCAGGCATGCAGAGGCATGGGGCCCTGGCTAAGCTTTCAGCCCTTGGGGCAGCCGAACACAGCTGAAACACTGACTCAATCCCCCTAGCAAACAAGAAGCTTCAGTGTCAGAATGCTGGCTGGACAGAGTGGGGCACAGGCAGGAGGTTTGTGGGAGAGTCTCCCCATGTCTTTTACCTCCACTACAGAACAGCCCTTGAACAAACTATGGTTGTGGCAGTTTTTGGAACAAACGTGTGTTATTTTGCTGTTTCCCTATTGTCAAAGGGATTTGTGTTCAACTGAATCAAAGTGAATCTGTGATTGCTGCAGAACAGATGGTAATGCTTAAAGCTTATCTGAGAAGACATAATCTAAGTACAAAATGAAATGTTCAAAAATGGGAGATTTATCTGATAGAAAGCAAGGAAATTATGTTCAGAGCTGATCTTTAGTGCATTAAAGTGGCTGTGCCTTAATTGGTGTTTATTTCCTTTCAGATGTTTTCTTAAGTGACTAGAATGATTTGAATGTAGGCTAAACAGAGAGTACTACTCTCTGTTGGAGGAAGGATGGTAATCCATGGTTCTGGGTGAGAGAATGCGGTCTAGGCGCGATGCAGTGTCTAGGAGAATCATAGAGAGGCACAATGATCACTAATTCTTTCAGGCACGCGAAAGTTGCAGCAACTGCTATTACACCGTCTGTGAGGAGCCAGCAAGGCAAGCCACTTTTGCCAGCCTGCATTTACAACTGTAGGTTCAGAACACGAAGAAAAGTGAGGAGAGAATTACGCTCTTGCCTTTTTAGGTCACCATATTATTATGCCCTGGAAAATGGAGTAGTCCTCCCACTACCTGTTTGTCAGAAACCAACAACTGGGTGTCAGGAAGACCACATTTTAAGTCAGTTATATACTGTCTGTCTCAACCTTAGTTACTTGATTTATTCACTTTTTTACCCTTACTACTTTAGCACTAAATACTTGACTAGTTCCAAATAGTTAATGAATCTCTTCAGAGTGAATTTTTGTTACCGCAGATGTGTCTGCATGACCAAACAAGAAGACTTGAATGCAGAAGCACTATAAACTGTGATGGAGCACTAGGGGACGTTTGTCACTCTCTTGTGAGCATGAGGAGACAAAAGCAAAGTCATCACTTTGTACCCTGTTGCAGCAAGAAGTGGAGGAAACATAGTGTTTCTTAAATTCTGTGCACTATAAGTATGACTGATATTCAAAAAGTATTTGTTGGAATAGAGTAGGGTCTTCCATAATTCCTTTGGGCTTCAGAGAAAGCAAGCAGCAGATGCACAGAAGTTGTATCTAGAGGATAAGGAGCTAAAGCATACAGGGAGAGACTCAGAAATGGAGTAGGAAGTGTGAGTAAAGTGGCATTAGGAGCATGAGTAGAAGACAAGGAATTAGCGACAAAGGCCTAAACGAAGGAATAGGAACTTAGAGAGTCCTGCAAAAGGGCAGAGTGGGAATGTGGAGTAAAATGTGGGAGGACAGCTTAGGATGTGTGTAGTAGGCTTTATATAGGAGACCAGACACATAAGGGATGGACAGGAAAGGGCGAAGTCTTTCCTACAGCATTAAAACACTTAAATATTTCTAGATCTAAATCTGAAAAATGTTCATATAAACAAAAGTTTTCACTCCCCCCTCCAGCTTTCCTTTGAATGCCCCACCAATCTGCCTTAAGCCTTTTCTAGAAGGACCCACTCTTGAGAGAGAAATATTAATTCATTCTACATGCTGAGACAATCTTTGACCTGCCTGCTGAGTCTGCCAAAAAGGTGCCAGTTATTGCTGTACTTTTAAAGATGTGTCTGTATTTACTAGAATTGAGAAATACAGTTACCTTTTCAGAAAGGCTATCCTCACCTAGTAATAATCATGTGCCAATGATTTTAATCTTTACTGTAGGCTGAAAGGTTGTATATCCAGTTGCAAATAACCAGAGACATCCATTTTCCTGTTATCAGCGAGATTATAGGCTAACTATTTTTCTACCATCAAAGACATCAGTTTCTAGAAAATGCTGAATGCTGTGATGTGCCTCCTTTAGGTGCTGGGCACTTCAGAAAGAAGATGCTTCATCGTTACTGGCTGTATTGCAAATATGGGTTAGAAAATGGTACTACAACCTGAGGTGGGCCAAGGAACACTGACAGCATGATTGAAACAGGTCGCAATTAGAAGCAAGGAAAATTCCTTACAGTGCATTTGACACAGCTATTTTATTTGTATCCATCATTACAAAAGCTAAGTTCTTAAATTCACAAGTCGTGCAGCATCTTTGGCTTCCACTAAAATAGAATCTTAGAGCTTTGCAGGTATAGGCCCTGAATATAGAATATGGAATACCTCCAAAAACAGGCATTCAGTATACAAAATTAAAATTAAAGGCCTCTTAATTATACGCCAAAGATCCATTGCAACAGTATTTATGGAATGAATAATTATTTTCACTTTAAATTCTTATCTATAATTAAAAAATACAGGAACTGAATTACAAGTATAGAAATGTATCTTAGGTGTTCCTTGCCACTTCAGTAGCACTCTGGTATTTTATTATGATGTCACTGCTTATAATAATATAATGCAATGCATTATATCATTATGTAAAATGTTGAGCAGAGGTGGATTTATTAGGAAGCCTTGGAGAGCTGTAACCTTCTTGCCCCCACCCTTTTGCTGAGCGCTGCCTACTAAGTGTGTTTGTGTAATGGAGGAGTGGCTGGACAACCTCCTGCCTCTCTATAACAGCCTCATCTAGCCGTGTACAGAACATGGAATGGGATGGAATAGTTTTTCACTCGTTAACTGTGGCATCGCTGACTCATGGCTTTGCTTCACTCTGATCAAGCATTCGTAAATTGTACTTGTCATATTTTCTAATGCATGAAATTATCTTGTTTGTTTGACACACATGCACAGGCACAAACACATGCCTGCTCTGTTTTGTGCAAAGCTTTCTGTCTCAGAGAGGCAGTGAGAAAATAATGTAGCATGAGCTGGAGGTAAAGGCTGGGTTGGAAAGTAAAATCTGAAATGCAGCTCAGGAGTTTTATGCAGAATTAGAATGCAGTCACAGCTCTGTATTTCTGCTGTGCCCTTTCATAGAATCATAAATCACAGAATGGTTTGAGTTGGAAGGGACCTTAAAGTTCATCTAGTTCCAACCCTGCCATGAGCAGGGACACCTTCCACTGGACCAGGTTGTTCAAAGCCCCGTCCAACCTGGCCTTGAACACTTTCAGGGATGGGGCAGCCACAAGTTCTCTGGGCACCCTGTGCCAGTGCCTCACCACTTCATAGTGATGAATTTTTTCCTAGTGTTTAATATGAATCTGCCCTCCATCAGCTTAAAGCCATTGCCCCTTGTCCTGTCACTTTCCTCCTTTGTAATTCTGTTCTTGTGTTTGTGAATACACAGCTTAAGGATCTTTTTACCTTTTTTTTTTTTTAACATGGAAAAATACTAAGATCCAAACTCATTTGGACCTTTCAATCTGATAATTCAATTAAGAAAATGTCATTGGGGTTTTTTTCCCATAGTACAAACATGTTTCCTATCAAAGCAAAGGTCTGTTACAAATAACAAGATAGTACATTTGCTTCTTTTAAGAGCTAAGTGTATCTCTGATTACATTCACAGCTAAAATTTTGGATGTATTAATGAAAGATTCTC